GTATTTTTGAGAAAATGACGTAATTTTATCCAATTCTCAAGCAAGACTCGAGACAAGGAAAATTATTGGTGGCCGTATATTCTCGGGAATAAAGGTCCAAAAAACGCTAGTTCTAATGTTCGTAATTAATATAGATTGAAATTTGACAAGATATTTAGCAAAGTCCTATTGTTTATGAAAATGTAAAAAAATGGATATTGAGAATTTGATCATAGGGGCAGTTTAAGCCAGGTAGCTGGTTAATTATAAAACTTAATCCTCAAATATCTGCCCTCCAGAGGAAATACAGCAAAAAGACAATAAAGTAGAATTTAGAAACAGACAGCAAATAACATCATTTGATACCACACAAAATGACCAAATATATCACAAAATCAGTACATATTGCAGAACTTAGCCTGCATAGCAGGCGTATAAAGGGGAGGGGGTGGAGGAGGAGGAAGAGAATTCAGGGTTCCTTTTTCCCCTTCCCCCCCACTCCTCCGTTTTTTTTTCCCCGAATTCTCTTCCTCCTCCCCCACCCCCTCCCCTTTGTACTCCTGAACTAGCAGTGCGGAAACTCTCACAAGTACGAGGCATATAATAACAAGTGAAACATTTATAGTGTTTAACGCCACAAAAAAAGTTCTACATTAACTTAGTTTTAATGGAAGAAAAATCACCTGGATGATATGCACGACAAAGTGAATAGCACCAATAAAAATAAGTAATAAAGGTGCTTGTATTTTGCTTTCATATACATGTATCTAGAGCTTTAGAGTTTCCAATTTCAATTTTTATTTTGAGGACATTGCTGAAAAATTTCTTTGATTAGTATGGTTCCCTCCTTAAAAATAATTACAATTATCATCATTATTATTAATTTAATATTTCTTCTACTTTTTATACCAAAAAAGGATACGGTCTCTCTAGCACTTCTGGTGCCATCCAGTTCATTGTACCTAACAATTACAATAATTAATTATTGCTGGTTTTCAGTGTCACGCAATTCAAAATAGATCAAAAT